GCAAATAGCACTCCTGAGAACATCATGCCACCACCTAGAAAGGATGAGAGAGAAGCCAGGGGAAACACATCCAAAAGGACTAGAGCAAGCAATGCCAAGGCAAGCCCATCTCTTTGATTCCCCAAAACTGACAGTCAACTGTGTCAGTCAATTCCCCATTTTTACAAAGCCTAACTTCAGCTAGTTTTGGTGGAGTGGTTAATCAAAAGCCACATACTCTTAGTTGAATATTCCCATGACCATTTTTTTCTAATTTATTCAATAAATAGGCAAACCATCTTCAATAGCCCTTTTCTGAATTATTAAAAAATATTTTTAAAATATTCCGTTTCCTAATTTGGGTGGGTTATTTTCTAATTAAAGCAACCAGTTATCTATTTCTGGGCCAGTTTTCTGGTATTTGAATAAAGTTGAATTTGCCCCTTTCCTGATTTCTTTGGAAAGATGAATTTCTCCCGTCTGGAATTTTTTGTGAAGTCAAAATTTATGTATGCCGTGAAGAGAAAGTCCTGCCGCTAGCCTACTGCAAAAACAATTGGCAGCCTGGCATGTAGACTTCGGAGTCTGCCAGTACAGCTGTGTCAAGTGTTCGGTCTTCTTGCCACTGACCTTGTTTTGTAACTGGTACATCAGCCCCTTATTTGGTCCTCGTGAGGAGCCAAACAAAAAGCAAAAGCAAAATATGTTGATAATATTTGCTGACGTAGTGTGAGCAGTTATACCATAAGATCTGAGGCCTTGGCAGCTCAGATAAACCCAAATGAACACATGGAAAGGTTACACCACTCTGTAAACAGTTTTTATATATAAATGTCACATGAAAAGCAGCAGGATCAAAGATATACGCTCTGGAGTTACCTGGAAAACATCAGAGTGCTGTTGTTCCTTGGGCAGCTGGGGTAGTGGCACTTTACTGTTTGTTTAATCTGGGTCTCTTATTTTTTAGAACTCCACACTGTCAAAACAATCCTTTGTTCTTAAGTTACATGTGTAAAATTTTATTAAAGAGAATAGGGGACACTTTATTTCTTTTATAAAACAAAAGACTAAAGGAGAGCATGAGAAAATGTTAACAAAATACCCTTCTGGCTATGGGAACACAGGTTTTTTTTTTTTAATATATATACATAAAAAAGGTCTTGGGGGGGGCTCTACTGGTTACACCCAATTATCACCTCTGCAGAACAACTCTCCAGAAGAATTCATGAATGTATTTTCTGTCTTAACAGTAACACTTTGGAGGAAAAAAAATTTGTTTTTCATCAAACATCATGATTTTGACCCCAGAGGAAGAAAATTAACCATGTTTAGATGAAAATGCTTGAAAACAGCTCAGAACATGAAACTTGCCAAACTAGGAATCTACCTGCAACTTAGCTGAAGCAGTTTTTCCCCTTTTATTAAGGTTTGGGAGGGACTTAAAGCACCACAAAGGAATAAAGTAGAAGCCAATGAAGAATTTTTGCACACAAAGCCAGTTGCCATGTACCCATATATTGTATAGTGATTTTGCAGACAATTTGGACTTTTATTGCTATAGTGTTGTCATTTTTGTTGTTGCATGGCATTAGCTAATGTCAAGAAAATTTTTTTACCAGCCTGAAAGACAGTTTCTATCAGTGGATTACCAGGCCACCGTAGGGTGACACTGTTGAGGTTTCCAGCTGAAAGGTAATAAGGGATGTATTCCTTTTATGGGTCTTAAAAAGTTGTTCAGACTGACCCTAGCTTGGAGCAAAGGTTAAAGTGAAAGGGTCGTGTTTTGCTGGAGAGCTTGAACTTGACCTTTGCTCTCAGATAGGATCCTCATTTAAGAACTTCCTACTGCATTGGGGAGGAACTGTCTGAGAAACTCCTTTTTGTCCTAAACCAGCATTTTTTTTCTCTACAGTCCTTTGAAATTCTATTTGCAAACCAGTTGCTTAATTTCTGAATTCATCAGCGTGCAGGTTCATTGGTTACATTCTACCTTCCAGTTTATCACAGAAGCCAGTTATACCAAATATTTCAAGGTTGGACAATGTGGATCACCATTTTTGCTGGTTTCTGTGATGTTTTTTTCTTCAGTATTTTACCAGCTTACCACCACCAACCAGTCCCACATATTTTTGATATTTGGTATAGCTAGCACCCCACTTGTGAACATAAATTTATTTGTCAGTTTGCATTTGGTAGAACAATCTTGCATAAGGAACAGCTACAAAATCTACTGAGTATCCAGCAGTCAATATTCATTTAGATCACGTTATCTGTGGATTGGTTGGTGCTGGGGTGCTGCTTTAGGATGGGGCTACTAAGCTAGTTAAGATAGTTCTATACCAAGAGTTTCTCTTCTCCCTCTGGGAACCTGTGGACTTCTCCAGCCACACTTTTGTCATGGCAACAGCAGAAATTAAGAACCCAGGTATTACCATGCAATAGCATTCCAGTTCTTCTGAGCCACAACTGCTAACACCCCATTAGCCAAAGTAAATTGCATTCCAAGCCCACTCTGCAGCCCAAGTCAGACGGCCAAGGCCACCATCAATGGAGTGGGGAAGTATATTCCTTCCATGGAAGTGAGGGAAAGGGACATATCTGATGGGAGTGTTCTTTTAAATCTTATTTCTACTTTTCTTTCATAATTACTGTATCAGAGACTTCCAGGTATAAGTAGAAAATCAATCCCACTAAACCACTTATGAAGGAATTCATTGGAAAGATACGGGGAAATTCAAAGAACCAAAGACAACCCTGATCATACAGGCAGAAAGGATAAAGACTAGAAAAGCTCCAAAGATCTAGAAAGCAGAAACTAGTAGTAGACAGTGTCTGGAGAATTCTGCCACAGAATCGGGAATGGCGGAAGTGTTTCGTCCCCAGAGCACTCCACTAAAGGTTCACATTCTCAAGACAGAGGCCAGTTGAGTACTTCTTCTCAACCCTAGGCCAGTGAAGAGCGAGGACACTGCCCTACCAAATATATACAAAGGAAAAACAGCGCTTTATCAGAAATGAGGGGACTGTATGTGGAAAGGGCAAAACCATCGAAAAGTATACACACCAGCTATCTTATAAGCCAATCTACTAAAATTTTAAGAACATCAAGTCTGTTAAAAGCAGTACATTGTACTAACCCACTGGCTCATGTCTGTCCAATAAAATATTACACGAAGAAATAAACCTATGTCATGCTGGCTATCACTGTGCACAAAACATCTGGGACTCAGAGGCTTTAGGCTCAAGTCAGGTCTACCACGTATGACTTCTATGACCTTGGGTAAATTGCTGAGCCATGGTCTTTGCATGTATATAATAAGAAAAACCTATTTCCCCATCTGTTTCAGTATGGTACTGTGAATGGATTAACAAATACAATTAAATGAATAACTACATTTACAAAATGCTTTAAAAACTGGGAAGTGGCTCCCACTTGAGAACAACTTTCACATGCCCCATGACACTGGGTACTACTTTAATGTTTCTTACTAATGACCAACTTCGTCACCACAGCCTCCACACCTCATGCCTATTTGTTTTAAACCTATAAATGCAGGTAAGTCAGAAAACCACTACCTATGTAAGTTGATTCCTTCTTATTATAGCAAGAAGACTCTGAAGGTAGTGTCCTCAACTACTAAAGGAAGACAGAATGTCTGGTTGTTTGCATATCAGACAAGCTGGAACACAGCCTTTATTAGGCTGAAGGCAGGATCTTGGTGAAGAGACCATATTCCATGACCATCCCATCAGGTTGAAGAACCATCCTGTACTTCTAGAAGGTGAAATGGCTGAAGCTGACAGGGACAGACAAAGATACAAAGAAAATTTTCCTTGCCCTGCAAGGTAGAGCTGAGTTTTCTGGAAAATAGCAGTGAAGGTGTATATGCTAGACAGCACATTGTTTTAATCTCAACACCTTTCACCCTTTTGTATGTTCGCCACTAAAAAGGAACTGTGAAGCAAACAGAAAATAACCAATGATCCAAACAACCTTCACCTGGTCAGTGGAGGCAGCAGACACAAAAGTGGCTCAGCCGTACCACCCTTAAAAGATGGCTTTGGCTGGGCCAACATGAGCTCACTGTGGACAGCAGCTCGCAGCTTATCAGATGATGATCTTGTCAAGCTGCTCTTTCGTGTGCACCACAAAGCCAGGGCCCAGTTTAGGGCTTGCTTTGTAAATGATCTCTACCTTTTTTTTTTTTTTCATTCTTCTGGGAAAATAATCTTTTTATTTTTATTTTTATGAGTTTGTGTTTACAGTGCATAATAATTCCATTCATTGTGAGGAGTTGGTATATGTAAATAACCCATCTTAACCCTTTTTTTTTTTTTTTCATTCTTCTGGGAAAATAATCTTTTTATTTTTATTTTTTTGAGTTTGTGTTTACAGTGCATAATAATTCCATTCATTGTGAGGAGTTGGTATATGTAAATAACCCATCTTAACCCTTTTTTTTTTTTTTTCATTCTTCTGGGAAAATAATCTTTTTATTTTTATTTTTTTGAGTTTGTGTTTACAGTGCATAATAATTCCATTCATTGTGAGGAGTTGGTATATGTAAATAACCCATCTTAACCCTTTTTTTTTTTTTTTCATTCTTCTGGGAAAATAATCTTTTTATTTTTATTTTTTTGAGTTTGTGTTTACAGTGCATAATAATTCCATTCATTGTGAGGAGTTGGTATATGTAAATAACCCATCTTAACCCTTTTTTTTTTTTTTTCATTCTTCTGGGAAAATAATCTTTTTATTTTTATTTTTTTGAGTTTGTGTTTACAGTGCATAATAATTCCATTCATTGTGAGGAGTTGGTATATGTAAATAACCCATCTTAACCCTTTTTTTTTTTTTTTATTTTATAGAAAAACCACATCTTCTTTATCCAGTTTCCAACGGATGGGCAAATAGGTTGTTTCCAAGATTTAGCTATTACAAACTGTGCCGCTATAAACATGGTGGCACATACTTCTCTGTGATATGATTCTTTTAGTTCTCTTGGAAAGATACCCAACAGAGGGATGGCTGGGTCAAATGGAACCTCCAGTCCAAGCTCTTTGAGGTATCTCCATCATCTTAACTCTTTATATGTCCTCCTCCCCTTCCAAGCCTCCTCCTTCCTTCCCTCCATCTCCATCCATGGTCACCTTCCCATCTGCAAAAGATCTCAGTGATATTTGAGATAGTATTGTATTTGCTTCTACCTCACGATAATTACCCTTCTTCCTCCACCACTCAGTGTCCCATGCTCCAGGAGATTGTTGTGATGGAACCTCGCAGGACTTTGTGGGTCCAAGAACTTAAACCCACTAAGGGATAATGCTATTGTGTCTCACAGGCAGACGCCACTGTAGAGAGCTGCCCTGAGGGAAAACAAAAACAAGTCAAGAGAAGGAGGGATTTCCCCAACACTAGAAAAAGGTTTCCCCGAGCTCTGTGATGCTAAGGGAGAGACTAATGAGAGCAATGTGCTGTACTGGTCTCAGAGAAAACTCCTCCTCACATGCACAAACCCACAGATACACATGGATAGACACACAGACACAGATGCACATATACACATGGATGCTCATATACAAATAGACACAGACTGACATGGACATACATGCTAGAACACATATAGAATAACACAGACACATACTCCTTACCTGTTCTGATTCTTGGCAGAACCTCAGAGGCGGTGTTCAGACCAGCTGGGCTCTGAGAAACCTCACGGAGATTCCCACGTCATGACATTGCATCAAGCTTACAGACCTGTTATTAGATTCCAGGGAGCCCATGAAGGAAGAATAAGACTACTGCAATCACTGCCAGCCAAGGAAGACAGTCATGAGGGTCTTGGAGATCACCCACACAAACACATGGGTAGATGAATAGGTCAACCCTTCATCTAAAAACTTTCCGTTCCACAGGAGAGTGAGGAAATCTCCAAACTGTTTGAGATAAAAATTTCCACCCTGCCAACAACATGGAACTGGAAACAGAATTTGAGTTGCAGGAAAAATAGGGTTGTGTTTTATAAGATCCACACTACCTACCAATGCACATGTTTGGTTTTCTGATTGCATTTGTGGGTTCCTTTTAAAAGACACCGGGCAGATCCTGCCCTCCAGGATTGTGATAGCAGAGCTGCTCTGCTAAAAATGTGCACTTGAATCGCCTGGATCTTTGCAAACAGAGACTCTGATTTGGTACAGCCAGGGTGGAGCCTGACAGTCTTTATTCTTAACACGTTCCCAGATGCTGCTGCCCACAAGGAGCAAGGCCACTGAGATTAACAGTGACCTACACATATACTGGGTGCTGGAGCAAAGGAGGAATAAATAAGCAGATGAACATGGTCTCTACATAACTTAAATCTTAAATGATTTCAGGAACTGAGCTGACTCTGTTTCTTACATATATTTTTACTTTGAGGCTCAGAGCAGGAGGGATGGAAGGTACAACATATGTACAGCAGTAGGCAAAATGATTTCAAGGGGGGTTATTAAAATGACCATTTACCCATTCAAGAGATGCAGAGGAAAACAACACTGAGATTCCACCTCACCCCACAAAGAATGGCTGCTATCAGGAAATCAACCAATAACAAATGTTGGTGGGGTTGTGGGGAGAAAGGAACCCTTCTCCATTGTTGGTGGGTGTGCGGACTGGTGCAACCACTATGGAAATCAATATGGAGATACCTCAAAGAGCTGGGACTAGAGGTTCCATTTGACCCAGCCATCCCTCTAACTGGGTATCTTTCCAAAAGAATTAAAACAATCGTATCACAGTGATATATGCGCACCAATGTTTATAGCGGCACAGTTTGTAATAGCTAAAACCTGGAAACAGCCCATTTGCCCATCAGTTGGAGACTGGATAAAGAAGATGTGGTTTTTCTATAAAATGGAATACTACTCAGCCATAAAGAATGAGAAATTAGATTCATTCATAGGAAAATGGATACATATTGAGGATATTTCTCCTAAGAGAAATAAATAAGTCACACATGTGTAAATACCGAATAGTTTCTCTGGTGTGAAAAACTATAATAGTACATAAGATCCTAATGAGATAAATGACAATGTGAAATAGGAAGAAAAGGGCTAAAGGTGTAGGGAAAATGGAAAGAGTAGGGGAAAGGTAATAAGGGAAAAGAAAAAAATAGGAGAAAATGGAAATAAAGTGTTTGTAAATGGGGAGAGGAGGAGGGGGTGAAGGGAGGACAGGGACAAGGGGAAAAAATGAGAACCAAGACCTGTCATGTAAAGGTACAAGATCCCAATGATGAATGTAACTGTACTGTATACCTAAAATGTAACAATAAACTCAATGAGAAGAAAATAAATAAATAAAATAAAATGACCATTTACCTTGTTGTCAATATTGTGCACTCATCTAACCAATATCTATAGAGTACACAAGTATGCATACTAGAGCTGTCCACAAAATGGAAATTACACCCGAAATAGGTTTATTAACTCTTCGACTCTAGATAAGTGCTGGGCACATGTTATCTTAATTGATCCACAAACGACCTAGTTTTACAAATGAGACTACAAAGTGACCAGCCTAAACCAGACATCCAGTCAGAGTCAGGGTATGGAATAAATCTGATTTTACTCATGCTCTATTCTCATTCAAATATCTTATGAACAAAATTTTACAAATGTATGACACTGTTACAAGTGTTCGTTAGTCTCTTCCATTGGATCACATTGTCCTATGGCTCGATGGAAAACAACAAAAGAGGGTCTTACCTTCTTGGTCAAAGCAGCACTTATACTTCACAATGAGGTGTTTGCAGGATGGTTGCAGATACAAAGGCATCAGATTTCCTTCTGGAAAACAGGAATAATCTCCCATGTGGCCCACTTTAAATAGCCATTGTTATTTTAAGCTCTACGGATTCATTTGCCTTTCATAAAAGATAGATCCATGGTCTCTGTGGTTGCCATCACATCACTGAAGACATTACAAGTGTTCAAAGAGGCAACTTCTAGGAAAAGGAGAAAAAATAATTTCTAAAAATGTAAAGAATTGTTATTAATATTAATTAATATTCTAGCAGTTTATACATCTTCCAGTTATTTGCAAATAAATTTATCTCCCAACTGTACAAGGTAAGTTGTAGTAAGATCTTCTGGGGGAGAATGATTATGCTGCCTTCCAAACAAAATTCTTAGTATCAGCAGAACACTCCCCAGGGGCTGCAGAGGTATCAGGGAGCCTAGGGGAGACCTCCAAGTGAAGACAGTTCAGCGTTTCCACACCCAAGACCTTCGTGCAACTGAGTTGCCTGGGCGACTAAATGTGACCCTGCATCCGAAGGAAAAAAAAAAAAATAGAGTTGTAGCTCAGACATGGAGCACTTTCCTGGCATGCAGGAGGCCCTGGATTCAGTCCCTAATACTGCTAATATGTAAGTAAATAAATAGTGAGCTGCATGATTGAAAGACTGTAATGTCTTTCCCACTGTACCTAGAATTTTTTCTTACTTAGGTAGTTCTCTTCAACATAATATGTTTAATTTAGCCAACAAAAAACCCAACAGAATTCTACTAAAGAGAGGTGCAGAAATTCACAGAGTAAATATGTGCTGTAGAGTGCAAACAGTTAATTAGCATTGTAATTGCTTCACCATAGGGGCTATGTGGTTCCTTTGGGGTAGCTGTGGCAAAGCAGAGATAAACTGTCCGTTAACACCAGGGTCACCTTGATTGCTGGAGAGCCCTGGTTTAACCACAGCTGAGCCACCAACAACTCTCCATTTGGAAAACAAATTATGTAGTCACTCAGTTTCCAACTGACTCGCAGTTCTGCAAGAATTTCACTCTCTGGCAATTTGCTGATTGTGCCCCCAATCCTGCCATGCAGAGAAAGAAGAGTGATGAGTATGATCTGAGGGTCCTGTAATTAGGGAAATCCTGGGGTAAATCAATAGTAACAATAGCACCTCATTAGCTCTCTACTGTGGATACCTGGGAGACTTATGGATTTTTTTAAATTTCTAATTAAATTCTTACCAAGGAGCAACTGCTGTCATTATCCCTGCATGACAAATGATGAAGCTGAGATTAAGAAAAGTTAGTTAAAATATTTTCTCACCCTCCTGAGGACGAGGAAGACTATTGGTGCTTTGGCATCAAAACGCCTTAAAAAATTGAAATATTTAGTTCTATCTTTGAGCTGTTCATCATCAATTGTGGGAAAGCATAGGCCAGTGGGGGAAAAAAAGTAAGAAACAATAAATGACAGAGAGAATAGTATGCCCAAGTATTCAAAGGTCTCTCCCAAGGTTACATAATTCATATGTGTCAGAGTTAAAAAAAAATAAGAAGAAATGGAAAGAAAATAAACATTTATCAAGCATATACAATAAGCCCCTGGGCAGCAGCTTTGCGTCTGATCTTACTTAGTGCTCCTTAGAGCCCCATGAAGGTGACAGCATCGCTTTCCTGTAGGGACAAGAAAACAGAACCTCAGAAGGAACTCGCCTGGGTCTCAGCAACCACTCCATGCTCTCCCCTGTTCTACAGCAACTGCATTCATTTTCCACATCCCACTGCAGACCCTGGCCAACATCAAGAACCCACTGATTGTCTAGACCCAAGAAAAATGAATTCCCAGTTTCACAAATGTCATCCAAAAATAAATTTAAATGATTTCCTTTAAACTCTGAAGAAATGAAAGTAGACTTCTTCAGCACATTTTCTTTATCCAATTTCTAAAGCAAATTCTCACGTAGTTGTGTATGACTAGGGAGGAAAAAAAAAGGAGGGGAGATGGTATAAAAATACACAGTGATCCAAAAAGTATTTGTTGAGCTAGTCATGCTATATCCCTAGGAAGAGTTCTTGCAAAATGAATTACTCTTGGGGCTGGGGATTTAGCTCAGTGGTGCTGCCGCCTGCCTCACGAGCACAGGATCCCGAGTTCAATCCCCAGTACCAAAAAAATAAAAAAAATGAAATCATCTCTTCTTGTTCTTCTCCTAATGCTGATTACAACAAAATCCCCAATTGGGTGTCACAGTCACTGTGGAGAAAAGAAAGAAATCACTGACCTTCGGATGAATGTTCCACAGCATTGAAAACAGGACTCATCATACCTTCCAGGACTTCCTTACTAGTTTAAGAATAAATTTTTTAAAAACTAAAATCTTTGAAAAGGCCCTTTGTGAACCCTGCTTCAGTAGGCAAAAGGAAGGTATTATTTAAAAAGAAAGAAAGAAAACAAGGCCCTGTGTCACTGCTGACTGCACACCCACACGCTCCAGCTCCCTCACGGATCAGGCAGGCTTGTGCACATTTGCTGACAACCAAATGCAAGCGTGCTCTGGTTCTCACGCTCCTCCCATCCCCGCAGCCTCCCTGCCTGGTCTCTGTCCAGTCACTTCTTGAGGCCTGGCCCAGGCCCGCTCTCACACACACTGTCTTCTCTCATGACCTCATGCACGCTCATGGCTTCAATTCCCTGTTGACCCACAGTTACGCCTCCAGCCAGGATTCTCTGAACTCTAGACTCATATATCTGTCTGCTCTGTGGACAGTGCCATGTGGATGTCCTTAAACCTACCCAAAAGGAACTCCCTATCAGGCTTCTCCTCCAAAGAGTGTGTCTCCGAAGAATGGGAGAGTGTGACAGTAGGGATACCTTGCTCCCATTCTCCATGAAAGCCTACAGTCATCTACCAGATACACAGTCGTAATCTGGACATCTGCTTGGCACATCCCTCCTCTCCTCCCTCTATCCAGCACTTCACCCTTCATTTTGCTTGCTTGGGAAATAACAAAAGAGCAAAGGAAATTGGAAGGCAGTGCTTCTTGTCCTTTATTGGTCATGTTCCCACGTGGTTAAATGTTGCTTGCTTCTGATTTCATTATTCTAAGGGTTTTGTAAAGAGAACAAAGAACATTAAAATCCATACCCAGATAAGCAATTTCCTGCAGTCCATGAAATGATGCTTCCAAAAGATTTGAATTGGGGGTGTTTCTTGATGTCTTTTTTCCTTGAAACAGGTGGTGGTGGTGGTGGTGGTGGTTCTAAGTCAGTAAGACTGTGTGTAGTCATTGTGTTTCCCAGACCTTCTTCCCTCACCCTGTACCCAGAGTTTGGACTTCCAGGCAAATGCTCCGCTGTACTGAGGTTATTCACTCTGGCCCCAAGCAACCAGCAAGATGATTCCATCTGCTCAGAACGCCCTGGCACTATGCTTTGCACACACATGTGATGTTAAGAAGTGGGGCTTGGTTTTTGCTGTCCTTGAGATTTGGCTGGCTCACCTCTTGAGGTACCTGAAAGAATCATTAAGTATGCAAGGATGCTCAGCCTAGCTAGGACAAGCTTGGCTGTTTGTATTGGGAGCCCCGGCTCTGTCAGTCACTTCTCTAAAAGAATGAGGCCTCTGGTCCTTTCCCAGGGGCAGCTTGATGAGCAAAGCAAGCCTGCACACTAGCCTGACCTTTCGCTGCTAGTCCCCTGTGTTGCAACCTGCATCGCGATGGCTCGTCCCACTGGAACCCTCTCCCTGACATTCAGGGCAGACGGGCTGCTTTCCACCTGCCAGCAGTACACCTGGTTCCCTGCCTGGAGCTCTAACCCCTCCCTCTCCAGGCCTTGGGCTCTCTCTTTACCCACAGTGCAGGAGAATGCTAGAGCCAGCCATAAATCTTGCCATAGTTTTACTCCTGCTTTCAGAGACTGTGTTTCCTGGGAAAGGCCTGCTCACATGAAGAAAGATCTCTTACCTCCCATTGGAAGTACAAATTAGTATGTCACCAAACAAAAGTACTGTGATCCTGCACACTTGAGCTTCTTTGCAAAGAGGCTGCATGGCTATGTCTCTGTACAGTAAAGGCCTGAGAAGTCTAAGTTCTACAGCAAGGGACCTGCTTGCTTCTCTTTAATTCTAGTTTCTACAACTATTTTGAGCATGGCACACTTTTGGCCAACTTGTCTTTTAGGGGTGCATGTTGACAAGACTGGAAAAACCTCTGGAGCACTGGGAAGAAGCTCATGAGATAGTATGGTCTGGGTGAGCCCAAATTGACTTCAGTTTTCAGTCTGTAGTAGCCAGGCAGGGTGACTCACACCTGTGATCCCAGTACTCTGGGAGACTGGGGCAGGAGGACCACAAATTCATGTCCAACCAAGGCAAGGTAACAACTTAGTGAGATATTGTCTCAAAATAAGATTTTAAAAGGGCTGGGGATGTACTTCTGTATGAAGCTGTGGGTGCAATCCCCAGTACCTTAAAAAAAAAGTCTCTAGGTGAGCAGGCACTTTTAGGGACAGGCTCCTGAATTTATGGGGGAAGCTGCTGCCAAAATGCTGTTTCTTTTCAGCTAAATCCCTTCAGAGAAACTTGCAAGGAACCAGCTCAAATCACCAAGTCATTCCGGCTCCTTTCTTTAGGCAACCTAGTAGAAACTTTGTTCATTATCATGCTACATTTTCTCAGCAGGTACACTTGTGCCGCCATCTTTCCTTTTTAACACATGATGTAGAACCCTGAACTGAGCATGCTCAGGAATGTGCCTGCCTCTAGAATTGATAATGAGTCTTCTCTAACCGATTGCATCTAAGTCCCCCTGCTTTTTTTGTTAAAGAATGCTGCTTTTTCAAATTAACTCTAGTACTTTCTTTATTTGCTGTGACTAATAAAGCATTTTTCACTCCTTTATCCCTGGCTGCACTTACCTGCTTTGCATTCACCAAGAGGGGAACTCATTTATTTTAGTCACAAGAACAGGTGGGCTAGGCAGGCTCACCTGTGTCACTTGGTGAGAGATAATCTATAGGGAGTAACAGGTCTCCAGCTAAACAGGGAGTTGTTCAACTGGCAGAAGGAAGATTATCTGCCACTTCCTGCTACCCTTGTCCCCCTCTACCTTCCCTCTTTGCCTGCAACTTGAGTCCCTGTGGATCTAAAGCTGGGAGAAGCCGAGGATCCCAGGGCAGGTGGCTCTCATGAGACTGTGAATGCAGTGGGGGTCACTCTGGGCTCAAAGTAACACAGTTGAGGAGAACAATATTGCCACCACACCCCAGTCCCCATTTTGGGCTACAAATGATGGCAATATGACTTCAGGCCTCAGCCCACTGGAACAGCCTTTTCACGGAGGGCAGCAGCAGCTGAGAAACGGGCAAAGGGGAGGAATGACCAAGCCTTGTCACCCGGAACAGAAGAGAAACCACCATGCAGGTGAATCCAACACAGCAGACCTGTCCTGAGGGTGGTACCATGCCTATGATTACACCCAGAGGCTGGAGAGCCCTGGGCCTGCTGACTTTCTTGCCTTTGTGCATCCACCTTCTGGTTTTCTGCTTCTCTTTTACCCCAGGCCAGCTTTCCCTACTCTCCCAGTCTCCCTGGAGCAATCAGATCCAAGGAGGGAGCCAGCAGACAGGGCCTTTCATATTTTATTCACACGACTCAGTGGGTGGTGGTGTCAAGGTCCCCCATGGGGTTCCTGGACGCAAAACAGGTCCCTTAAACAAATGGTCCAACTCAAGTCCAGGTTGTTGCTAGTAAAGGGAGTTCCCGTTCCCGTTGTCCTAAATCACCCGGGATTGTTTACTGCGAAACACAGACAGGAGTAACAGCAGCCATGTGCCTCTGCATGTCTTGGCTGAGCCAACTTTTGCATTGTAAGCACTGTAAGTACCAAGTGGCTAGGATGGCCTAATGCCAAACAGTAATGTTTCCTCTTGCTGTTGTTGAAAAAAGCATTCAGGAAAACAATTGAGCTCAATAAGGGCCTTCCTGTTTCATCGGCGGGCAGGCCTGTGAACCACCCAGCAAACACCGAGTGAGTCAGGCTGGGAGCAGGGAGCTTCCTGCTCCTTTCTCACTGAGCCCTCTCCCAGGCAGCTGCAGGCAGGAAGCACAACCAGGCCCTGCGGCCTGTACCCTCACACCCCCTCTCCCCAGATTAGCATTTTCAGAATCAGTTTCTCCTACCTCTCCAGACACATCCGGATTTCCAGGCTAACCAAAGTCAATGTTTACACAGGCATTGGGGAAGGCATTGGCTGGCTGCGGGTTGCCCTCCAGCCCAGAAGTCAGTTCTTCAAAGAAAGGACCACTGAGGCTTACTCCAAGAAAATTCCAGGGCTTTTCATTATGCAGAGGACACAGATTTGATGAACATGTGCTTGACTAACTGAGGCACAGCCAGAAGACCTTAGATGCCCATGAAGGGTAAATGACTGAGCTCCAGTAAACCAAATGTGTACAAAACTAATTAGAATAATCAGAAAAAAAATCATACCTTTTTGCCCTTAGTTTTCCTGATGTTGTAACCAAAACACGTAGTTGCACAAACTTGTCTTGGGTGCATGAAAGAGAACCTAGAGAGAGAGGTATAGTATGGTCAATGCTTGGTTGGTGTTGATGAGATTGATTCTCTCTCACTTTGTGCTCTCTCTCTCTCTCTCTCTCTCTCTCCTTTCTGTCTCTCACTTCCTCTCTTGGAGTCTATCATCCCTGCTTTTAGGGTATTATGAGACATTCTGCCATGAATACAATCTAAAATCTAAAGGATTCTTCAGAAAGAGGGAGAGTATGGGAAGAGTCAAGAGGGTCAGGATGCAAAATGTACCTGCACAAATTATAATTATGTATCATAAACATGACCCTGATAAGAAATGTTATATTAAATAGTCTTCCAAGGATGACCCAGCAGAGATGGTAACCTTGACTTCATCCCCCAGAGCATTCCAACAGCCAGGGCTCCAAGCTACTTAACCAAAAGTTACAAAGAGGGATGTTAAGTTTCCAGGATCCACTTTGCCTATTCTAAAAGGTTTCGCCAGTCATTTATATTTTGATAAAATGAGTTTTAATTCAAAACTTAGTGACCCTCCCTAGTCCACTTCTGCTTGTGCCTCTGATAAGTCATCTGAATTCCCAGATGTCCACCTCATGGGATTGAACCTGGGCGAATAAACTGTGGAGCCAGTTTTATTTAATAGCCTACCTGATGTTCAATAAAAGTAATTACTAGTAGTAATACTATTGCTACAGTAAGTAATACCAATACCAGTACTAAAATTCTTTGGTACTGATGCTAGTACTGAATTAATAATACCATTACTACTACCAGTAATACTATTCCTACTCAATATCAGCCAAACAAGAGTCACTGGGTCAGTTGTTTTGACTGGCTATCTAGTAAATTGTCCTTGGCTGAAAACGAAGCATAGTATCACATTTTAGGAAGGTACAGACTCTTTCTTGTGCCAAAATGAAACTAAGTTTCTAAATAGAAATTGTTTTGGGGG